ATTAGTAATTAATGAATTGCAGGAAAGTTTTATCTTCAAATTAATGGATGATATGTACATAAAGATAATCGGATGCAAGAGAAACTAATATCATATTGATTTGACCACATAATTGTCGAGTATTAGTTAAAATTCATAATATTACGTCATGTAAAATTCGAAGAAAAGCTCTGAAAACAAAAACGAGAATAATAGTTTTTAAATTATAAATAAAATCATTTCGAATACTTACGCACTAAAAGTTTCATCTCGTGTTCCATTAACTGATGATAAAACATCATTCTATCGTGTTAATATAGCATCTTCAGTTAAATTTTGTACGAGACATTGAAGTATTATATTTATATTGATTAATTATCTATTTGTAGATTGACAATTGACATTCTAAAAAAAATTTTGAACTACAGGAAAATTTTATAAATAAAAACAACGAACATTTCTATTTACTAATGCTCGAAAAGCAACAACAAATGGATCAATTGATCGTAATGCAACTGATAACACAACATCAAATAGTGTTAATTGTATGGAATAAATATCCAAAAGTGATTGATCCTATTTGAACAAAAATATAACCTGAGATTGTAAATGAACAAGAAGTACATCGACAATTTATCGTGAAAGACGTTTCGATTTATCATCTTCAATTTGAACACTATTAACAATAACTGTGAACAATCGTAAAGCCTATAACAATATAAATTCTATTATATTTTTCAGTACATACACATGATATGAAAAGATACTTGTATTTATAATAATTAAGACGCCTAGTTTTCCTTCAAACTCAAATACATAACAACAAGATGATTATTTTCAAATCATCGATTCGTTGAAGTGTCGGTGTGGGTTCAATCGAGGAGAAAAATTACATCTACACACCCACACTCACACCCTCACGAGTTTCTAAGATATTTGAGACTTTATAGAAGGACACTTTTTGTTCACTCTCATTTAATAAAACTTTTTAGGAATTTTAATTATTCGGATAACTCGAACAAGAAAAAAAATCATATAAAACTGTTTCTAATGCTGCTAAAGCTAAATAAAGAATTTTAACAATAATTTATTTTTCTTGAAAATGTTTTGTTTTACTTCCGACCATGTGTTTCAGATTCATGTCTATTTGCTAATAATGAATCATAATGTTTTATTAAATCTTGTACTTTAATAACTTGTTTTGAATGAAGTGTATCATGTGATAACATAACAAGAAATTCAGCAATACAATAAATAAAATGCTATTTAAAAATAAACGAAACGGTTAGAAATGCAACGAATTTCATCAGCTTCTAATTAACTATTATTAACACGAATTAAAAGTAATTGAACAAGTAAATGGAGTATAGCAGCTTGAAAATCACTTTCATTTGTATATTAATATATTTTTTAAGACTAATTTTTTAGTTCAATAAAAACTAAAATAGAAAACAAAAAAAACAGAATAGATCAAATTCATTTTTTTTGTTTATTTTACTCTCGTATTGCACTATTTATACTTGATGCATAACATGAACCAAATAAAATAATTTATCGGTTGTCGAATACTTATTGTATGAATATAAGTTAAAGAATTATTTAATGATACTTGTGAAGAAACATTTGAAGATTTAATAAAAACTAAATTAAAAGAATATTTTTAAATGAATGTTGTGTTAACAGAAAAAATGATTTTCAAATTTCGAATTGATAGCGTGTCTTGCAGATCACTGACGTAAACTAGATGATTCAATATTCGAATTTCAAGATAGAACCGAATCAAAAGATCTGACACTTTCACAACAAAACTACTCTCGTTAAGATCATCGATATTTGTAAAATCAGTTTTTCTATTACTATGACATTCTTATTTTGAAATTTTCCTTCTCTAGGAAAGACCCTTTCAGAAACCTTCATTATAAGATTTCCATCGAAAGTTTTATCCATAGACAAGTTTCAGACACAATACAACATCCTAAAGGTTTTAGCTTAACCAATAAATAAAGAAGATTAATAATTGAAATTTTCTTTACAATAAATATTTTCTACTTAAAAGAAGTTACCTTTTGTGTACATTGAATGTTGATTTAAAATAATTAAGTGTTTCTCTTCCAAATTTTTTTGATAAATCTTGTGTAGAAATAAGACTTAAAACTGATTTCATAGACAATAATGATCATTTCTGATGAATTTAATAAACTTTTATGTATTTGATAAGATGAACATATTAATTCGAATAATTTCCAAAAGTACCTAATTGTGTATGATTAACTTTTTTATCTTTGTCTATGTTTGATGTTGTTGATGAATCTTTTTCATTCTATTTAAAAAGAAAAAAACAAATGAATTCGTTCAGACGAAACTTGATCACATATATTCTTCAAATCTAACACTTTGGAACTCCTTTCTTCTGTGAAAACTGAAATATCAACTATATTCTGTCCAAAAGAATGATGATTGTGAATATTTTTGCAATAGTTCGAGAACTATAATAAAATAGTTCAATTTTCGAATTACTTGAATCATTTGTGCTACTTTCAAAACATTTTTTCATTTGTTGAGATTTGATAAATCTTCAAATAAAAAGAAAGAATTCAAAAAAAAAACATAATAAATATCTTTTTTTTCTCTTTACTTGAAAAGATTAAATTATTAAGATCATGTAATATAAAGGGATGTTTAAAAAAATTTATAAATAAACGAAGTTCATCATATTGATTATGAAAAAATTGGTCGAATTGTTGTTGGTCTTAAAACATTTGAAAGAACATAAATATCTTCTAAACATCCAACCGATATAAAAGACAAAAAATAACAAACAATTTGTATTCTAGTTGATGCTTGAGCTTGTAATTAATGACGAATTTTATATATCCATTGACATGGTAAAAATGAATTGTGATCAACAAAACCTTAAAATCAAAAAAGTAGCTAATAACTAACTTAATGCAATAAAATCGACTTATTCATCCAAATTCGAAAAAAGCTACGTAGTTATTATCTCTACAAAATACATACTTAGCAAAAGTCGAAGCAGTTACTTGACGAACACGTATATCAGGATATATTGTTTTAATTGTTTTTGTTGTTGTTCAAGATAAGTTAATATTCGAAAATCAATATCATCTATAAATTGAGCTAGACTAACCTATTTTATATACATACAAAAAAAAATTATCATAATCATAAATTTCTTTTATCTACTTTAGCAAGAACATAGAAACTTGTACTATGTTGAATAGAATCTTCTAATAATTCAATTCCTATGATTGTAAATGCATGACTATTAATTAATAAAAAAAAGGTAATAATGTTCGTAAAGCATTTAATGAAACATGTATAACACGTGCATTATTATCATTAAGACATAAAACCTTGAACTGTCTTGTGAATCAGTTGATACAAGTGAATATTGATTAATAAAATAATTAATAAATGAATTTGATAATGACGATAGTGTTAAAAGATGATTTCTTGTTTGAATTAATGTAACAAGTAAATTTACACATGCACCACGTAAATGTAGATCACCGCGTTCACATAAAGATATGCAATATCTTAAAGAAAAGAACAAAAAAAGATACCTTGATGTTCGATAAATTTTAATGTATTACAAGTCATATAGAGATGTGAATTTCATTTTTTCCTTTAGAGAATTCCATTTTAATTACAAAATTATATCTGATCAAAAATTTTCAAAGATTAAAGAAAAACTCCTTAGAGGATACAATTGATTTCATATCTCGAACTTCGGCTTAGAACTAGTTTTTGAGGTAATTGTGTGATTGTAAAACTTCAATCTCTGATGTATTGATGCAGGCTTTGAGCTTCAATAAAGTGTTCTACTTGGTATCTTCTCGAGTCTGATAATTTTCTAGTCTTTTGTTGGTTTCAAAAAAATTAAAAGTAGGAATAGGCCTAGAGCTGCTGAATCAATATTC